AACATTTCTGATGTCCATAACAACACACACGCATAAAAAAAAAATCACCAACTACCCGCCCGCACTAAAAAAATATCCACCCGACCCCCGACCCGTTTATTTTTATTTATGTATTTTTCACCCGCAAAAGAGCATTTTAGCGGGTGACCCGTCGGGGACCCGCGGGTACCCGACCCGTTGCAGGACTCTACCCCACATACCAGCGGTGAGCTGTCACTAGGAATCCCATTCAACCCATTCAGCCTCCGGTTTACCACAGCGGAGGCGACCAGCTGGAATGCGCTTTTCATGGACGTAATCCAAACTGCAGGCACCAGGATAATAAAAGCGAACATGTTTTGCTGGATTTCTGCATTTTAAGTTAATTAAGACATTAATAAACTGTTTCAGAGGAGTGATCATAGCGCTGCTCCTACTGATCTAGACGCGTCGCAGACAGCATGTGCGTTCATGTGTTTCGAAGGCAGGGTTTCACGGGTTGATCTGAAGGGAGAGGCATGGTGTGTATGTTCAAATATATAACTTGCTGGAACCTTTTTTCCAAGATCTCCTACAACACCTTTAATGGATAAATAACTGAGCAGAATCTAAATAAGAAAAACTGTTTGCTACCAGGGAGAGGGTTAAATTTTAGAGCCTGAAAGCTAAAAATTGCTACCTGAGAACTAATGCTGTTGTTAATCGTATTACGAGCAACAAATATTGTGTTCCCTTTAAGTGATTTAGAGGGAGGGTAATGATATCCAGCAAGAAAAATGTCGTAAGTGAAAACTACATGAAAAGAAACAATTGAAACTTATGTAAACCTCTCCATGGCATGATCCTGCTATTACTGTGTTTTGCAGTTTTCCAGGTGATGTGCAATGTTAGATTTCTACAACACTTAAGTCTTGGGGTCCGTTTTAAGAAACTGGTTTACTGAAAATTCTTACGTTTTCTAAACCTTAAAGTAAACTCTAAACTCTGTGTTTTCTGGTTCACAAAGAGAGTTTCCTCAACCTCTGTTTCAGTCACCATAGTAACATTCTCCCCTGAGCTAACCTGGTCAGTAGCAGGTTTTCTTCAGTAAACTCAGAGTGTCCTCTGTCCCTGCTCTCATTACAGCCAATCACGTTGTTTTATTTCTGACATTGTCAGATTTTTGTCATAGTTTTGTGTATTGAAATAATCATTGCATGTCTGTTTGATGAGGATCTTATTATAGAATGATGGGCACTTTTTTTCCATCATTCTTGTCCGTTTTGTTATGTATTAGTTTTACTGAACATGTATTCCTGATATCTGAAAAAAAAAACTGTTTTCCTTGTCAAAATTACCAATAAAAAAAAAATGAAATTCGTCACATCTAGAATAAAAATTCTGAATGTCTAGAAATTTATTCCAGATCTTCATGTTCCTATTGTTACTGGTCAGCATTTGTATTATTTTCGCTATGAAGAAATGCATTTCAGATATCATTCATACATACATATTGAGTGAAGTTGATAAATGTCAAAAGGGCCAATTAAAATGTGTAAACATTTCTAGGTATATAAAACTGAATTCTTACTAGTATAATTTAGCCTTTTTTATTTTCTGAAATTAAGTTTCTGCATTCAGAAAATATATTATATACTATAGGAGTGTGATTTTGATCAGAATGATTTTTATTTTAGTAAACTACAAATTGAAGGACAGAGCGGAGAGTTTTTTAATAAATTTAAAAACTGCCTGCTTCATATTAATCTGCACATTAACTTGAGCAATAATCTTCTCCTTTGCTATCTTCCTCTCCTGTGCAGATGTAGCTCTGTTTCTTTGTCTTTTAAACACATTCTCCATTTTTTTTAATGTCTCTAATTAAAACCTTGAGTTCCAGTGGGGTGAAATAGGCTCTTCCTGTTGTCATGGTGACTCGTCGACTCTACAATCCACTGATGATGGCTTTTTAAACTTGATATGCATGCGCTTAACTCTGAGTGGACGTCTTAAGAGTTGATTGAACTAATTCAAAACAGCCGTTGTGAAACGGAAAACTCTTAGTTCCCGAGCTTAGGCTAAAAAATCTGAGTTTTTTTTTAACCTGCTTCGTGAAATGGACCCCTGATCTTCAAAGAATCCAAATTAATTTTAATGAGTTCAATTGTGTTAACAGAAACAAATTGCATGTGCAACAAGTGCATGTGCTGAGGATAAACAATGTCCATTTGAGTAAGTAATATAGCAAACAAGTATGGGTTTGTTTACAAAACAGGCAATTTCTTCTTCCATTACTGAAATGTTTCCAGAAAGTTAGACAGTTCAGTGCAGGCTAAAATGATTTAACGACTCCCTTCTGCAGACGTATTTTTCCAGACTTTCTAACGTATTAAAATATAGACACAAAAAACTGCTTCCACAATCACTTTGAGAAATTACTTAGCAGGTGGTTGGTTTTTACATTTGTAGTCCTCCTCTCATAAATTTGTTTAATCTGGTCATTGGAATATGATCTGCATATTCATAAAGGCTATCAAGCAATTCAATTTGCACCTACTTTAAAGATAAGTATTGCAGGTGCTAACAAGTTTGCATGTTTTCACAAGGCAAGCAAAGTCTATAGCAAACATAAATAGATAGCAAAAGAGAGAAAAGTACACTGTAGTGGCATATAGATTATTAAATACATAATGAACATGAAATTAAAAAGAATGTGAAATAATAATTTAAAAGACAAGATGATAAAAAAAACTGATAATAAAATGATTGATAATAAAATGAAAGGAAGTAGGACTAAAAACTGAACTAACAATGTTTAGAAAGCAGAGTCAAAGGATACTAAGCAAGTACATTTTTAATCTGGATTTAAAGCAGCTTAAGATTTCAGCACTTTTATAGTAGTTTTCTGGGAGTTTGATCCAGATTAGTGGAGCATGAAAACTAAAAACAGTTTCTCCGTGTTTGGTTCTGGTTCTGGGTGTGCAGGGCAAGCCTGAACCAGAGGACCTCACATAAACTTTCTGGGGATCAGACCCTTAGTATTTTGTACCAAATAGGCCACAAATTTAACTGTGGTTCTATTTTACTAGAATGCCTTTTCATATATTTTTACCATGTTCTTTACAAGGTTTTTTTTTTTTTTTAAACTTTCTTCTAGCACTTGAGGTGTAGATCTCTGCAGCTCCCCCAGAGAACACATGGACCTCTTCATCTTCATCTGACCTGTCACTTTAGGTGGATCACCATGTCACTGTTGCTTTGCCCTTTTAACTTACAGATGAATGATTGAACAGTTCTCTAACCAAAGTTTAACTCTTTGCATAGTGTTATATAATCTTTTTCTTTATGGTGCTGTTCCTGAACAACAAAAGCATTCACGCAGCATGATACTGTCATCCTGTGAGGATGCTCATATCGGCGTGATTTCCAACAGGAAGTGTTTTATATTTATTAAAAAAACAATAATATAAAAGGGCAAGAATTCAGCTTGCTCTTTGGATCAGAGCTTTTCCGAACAAAACAGCTTTTGTTAAATACACAACTACACTGTAGTTAAAAAGTTGTTGACTTCTAAAGGAAACTGATCTGATTTTATTTTATTTAGGGCAATCAGAGTAAAGAGGACTGTTGACAAATGTTGGACAAACGCTTAAAAGCGATTATTTTTCTTTTGCTGTATAAGCAGGCTCTACTTTCTCTTTTTTTGTATCGTTTATGAGAAAGAAAATGAAATTCAAACTATACAGAATCTATTTTGTTTTATTTGACTTTTTAGGTAAAGCCATCTTCTTTTCTATAAATCTTTAAATATTCTGCATATCAAAATATCATTAAAAAAATTGTGGCTTTATTCCTTAAACTTTTAGGAAGAGAACTTATATGAGGTAATGATCCGTAGCCTACTAGTCCTAATGTTTTTTGAATATTTGAAAATAATTTCCATAAAAGGAAGAAAAAACGAGAATATATTTGTGTTACAGTATAAATAGGATCAGCTGTAGTGCTGCGATCGGAGAGAAGTAAGAAGCAGTCTGGAAGGTGTTCAGTGAGTCAGATCTTCTCTGGTGTTTCAGGGGTTAAAACTGAGCTGAGTTCTGGAGAGAGAGGAGAAGGCTGAAATCGTTTCCACATTACAGCACACATGAAATGAGTTCAGCTGTCTGAACAACCTCTCTCTCTCCCTCACTGGTTGGTTTGGGGTAACTTTAACACAGCTGTATATCATTACACGTCTGGGGGGGAGGGGGGCACAGGAGGATGACACACAAGGAGCAGTAGAGACGATAAACTTCATCCATAACCAAGATAAAACATACACACTTCTGATGGTTATCAAAGACATAGCCTAGAGCAAAGCAACCCGAGTTGTGGAAGTTGGTCCACTATAGAATAAATACCTTAATAAGCACAGCTGTGTGACTTTCATAGCTCCTCCCATCATTGTGTTACTTTAGCTCCACCTCCTCCAGATTACTCTGGTTCCTGGACTTTTGTGTAAGTTTTTAAGGAGGAGGAAAACCTGTTCTCTTCTGTAATTCGGTCTACATTAATACGGCAAGCTTTGATAGACACCATTTGGTAACAAGAAATAGAAGATACTGTTTCATATATATATTCCTTTTTATGTGATCTTCCTCTCAGATTATTTCCAAAAAAGCCAGCCAGATGTGTTCCTGCAGGAAGGGTGATTGATGACACCTAAGAGCTCCAGAATAGAGGTCAAAGTTAGAGAGGAAGGGGATAAAAACTTTCTGTGAGCGCTTGAGGATTAACATATGCCAGCCCCTTTATGTCTGGCTTCTCCCACCAAAGGAATGGGAGCTACTTAGAGAAATACTAACATGAAACCAGACATCTTTTTTTCTTTCACAGGTATTTTCTCTGTAACCAATATATTAATGATTATTATTCTTTCTATAATCCATGAGTGTCAACATTAAATGATGTGGAACATTTCAGCATTTAGTGCTTTTATAGCATATTCACAGTTGATGTTGTTGATCTGTTTGAAAGGCCAGTGAGTTTCTTTCTTTGTTTTTTAGGAGGATCTCAGCGCCTGGCTTCACTTTACACGGCTACAGTTGGTGTGACAACAAGGAAGTAAAACGAGTCCTCCAGACCTAAATGATCCACCAGATGTGGGAGAGGAATACAGCTGGATCCAGTATCTTCAGACAAATTTGTTGATCGGGGGTGGGGGGGTTCTATCTATTTCATGCTGCAGTAGGATTTTCTGATTAGATATGATTAGGTATATTTTCTGTATGGATTATTTTTTACTTCTTGTGAGGATGGGGTGGTTTGAACTAGAAGTAGACCGTCCTGCAAACACAGGAAATAAAGGCAGTTAAAAACTCTAGCTTTTAAGGCAACCATGAAACAAATCTGAAGCTTAAGCTTAAACCCAGCCTATGATTTGTAGCTGGACACTCAGGCCCAGGCTTTTCATTTAAATCCAGCTCCAAATAGGACGGAAGTAGAGTTATAGGATGAAACATGAGTGTTAGACTGATGGATGTTGCTGGTAGTGTCTGAAACTTCTTAAGCATCTAGTGATGCATTTACTGACTTTGGCTAAATTGCATTTGCTTTTAGTGAGGAAGACATTTTTTCAGTTTTCTATTGAAACTAAATTGACATTATTTTACCATATTTACAGTGGACAAATATAGCACAAATTTAAGAAAATGGAACAGTAAAAATTTTAAATTTTTAAATTAAAAATTACTGTTGTTTGGATGCATTGCTGCAGGTGGGACTAATTCACTTCATTCATGCCAACTTAAATAAACCACATTATCATTTTGCCAGATGGAATAGAACAGACCTTAGCCTTAAGTTGTGAACATAAAATATGTTACTATGAGTCACCAAATATGTCATGTTGCACAGTAGCGTAGTTTGTAGCACAGTTGCTTTGAAGCTAGAAGCAGAGGCGTAGGCAGAACATTTTTATAAGGGTGAACAGGCAATAACCAATGTACACTGAGGGGTGGCCGAAACTGGATAAACTCTGGGTCAATCTACACTGTTCCAACAGGAAAATTAACGAGCAAAACATCCATATTTTCTAAATAAAGACAAACTATACTTTCCTACAGCCTATGCTAACAAGTGGACATATATATATTTAAACAATAAAATTGTTATTTATCTATGATTTCATTGAAGACTCCCAGATTGACTTGCAAAGACACATTTTCTCTTTACCCCATAATACACAAAATGTCGTTTTGAAAAGAGCATGAATTCTGAATTCATCATATTTGATGTTAGTATACTGATGTGTATAATTAACCACAAAAAATCAAAACGTTTTGAATATTCCACTTGAGAGTATTACTGCTGCCCCCATCTGTATTAGAGGGAAAAAATGGTGGGAGCGGGCACCTGGCCCCCCATCTAGCTCTGCCCCTGGCTAGAAGGTCCTGGTTTCGATTCCTTACCCGGGGTCTTTCTGCATGGAGTTTGCATGTTCTCCCCGTGCATGCAGGGGTTCTCTCTGGGTACTCCGGCTTCTTCCCACAGTCAAAATAAGGACTGGTAGGTTATCTCTAAATTGTCCTTAGGTGTGAGTGTGTGTGTGTGTGTGCATGTCTCTGTATTGTCCTGTTGCCCATGGACTGCTGAAGATATGCACAGGCCCCAGACCCTGATGGAATAAGCAGGAGAATAATGGATAGATAGATGGGTGGAGTCAGTAAACTGATATACAAAATTCAGGTACTAAAAAAGGGTTTAAAAATAATTTATGAAAGACGATCTAGAATAAAAGACCTTTTGAAGGAGTTTGAAGCTTTGTGGCACTAATCTATTGCTTGTTTCACACATACCTTTCTGTCATGTAACTGTGCATAAAGCCTTTGTTTTTATCTACCCTACCACTGCCTACAAACTTAGAACTGGTTCATAAGCTTGGCTTATACCATGGAAATGGTAATAGTTGTGCGCTTGTTTTCCTCTGACATAAATTTCCACAATAATTGATAAAAAAGTACATAAAACATGGTAGAACCAGTGTGAGGTTGCAGTTAAAGTTTTGGAGCGGTGATGTCAAAGTTTAGACTTTAATTTCAGTAGAGCTGCTTTGTTGTGAGTGGAACTCATGCTTTGAAACTCTCTAATGTAGCTGAATTGAAAGAATTCTCCAAAGCAGTGTTGGTCATATGTTTTAGAGCATAAGATGAATTACTAGTTATTGCTTAAAAGCAGTTGTTGCATGAACTTTTCCTCCTTCACATAAGGACAGGGCGATTTGATTTGCCCTTTTGTCTAAATAAATAAAACTTTCTTTGAAAAGCATAATTTGAATTCTCTTGTGTCACATTTTTATAATATATAATGTGTTTTATAAAGGGAAAAAAAGCTTATTTAAAGCTTTAATGTGGCTCAGATTCTAAATATTATCTGTTCTTATTCTCAGTGGTGGATGATCCAGTTCCAGAAAGTAAAACTGTTCCCTTGTTTTCCATCATCCTGTTCACTTAACCAGGTGATTAGCCCCTCAGATGACTGGTCTGCATTGTGGAGCTGGAAATGGAAATGGTTGTAACTTACTCTGTACATTTCTGCCTATTTGATTGCACTGTCTGAGAGCGGTGTTATCTCTTTCATTTCACTCTCATTTTTTCCAGCCACAAATCTTGGGGGAGTGTCGACTGGCTACAATGGAAAGCCTCAGCGAAGAGGGAAAGACATGGCCACAGCAGAAGGAAGTCCTGCTTGAGATAAAACCATTTCTGGCACGCTTGAATATTAAGGGAGCAGAAATATTAGATGCAGTAATTGAATTTTTTTTTACATTTTTTTCCTTCCTGTAAGAAATCTTGTAAAAGTTATATCTAATTTTCTAAGGTTCTCTATGCATGTAAATCCACATCATCAAATGTCCGCCTCTTCCACCCGTTTTTGGCCTTTTGCTCTCTTCAAATTGTCTTTTTTCTCTCTGCTTATATTGCAGTTTGTCTGTATCCAAATGTTAGGGTTGCTGTCCAGAGAAAACACATGCAGAGCACCCAAAAAGGGAAAGGAGAGCTCAGTCAAGAAGCATTTAAGTCTTGTGACACTGCTCGAAAACTTAGGAATTGGAAAAAAAAATCAGTTTTATTCTGAGGTTGTCAAAAAGGTTACTGGTTGAAAGTCTCTGCTTTGTCTTTAACCAACATTTATCTGGTACAAACATTACCATCATCATTACAAGCACCTGACTGGTCTGTGTCTATAAGCAAGCTGCTTATAGACCTATACCATAAAACCTGGACCCAGTGTTTGCATACTATTCATAACACTGGGGATTTAGAAAACAAAAGAACGCAAAATAGGTAAATTTTCTTGAAATATTGCAGGCCAGCAAATAATCTGACTAAATAAAGAGTATAGTGGCCCCTAAAATAAGATAATTGTTTATTTACTGCACTTGAAATAAGATTATAGATATATATTCACATTTTAAGTGCGAAGCACTCATTCCATTCACAGATTATTTTATTAATTTACTCAATGAAAGTTCAAATTTAAAAAATCACATGCATGGGTAGCACTGCTGCTTTCTAGGAAGAAGGTTCAAGGTCCGATTCGGTCTTCTTGCATGGAGTTTGCATGTTCTCTCTGTGCATTTGTTGATCTCTCTCTGGGTACTCTGGCTTCCTCCCACAGTCCAAAAACATGACTATTAGTTTGGCTTCTCTAAATTCTCCTTAGACAAACGTCATTTTGTATGCACAGAGTGCATACAAACATGGCTTTTAGATGACTGAAAATGACTAGACGTGCATGAGTTTTGTTGTCGAGACAAAGACTACATGAAAATGTCGATGACACATTAAGATTCCACAAACAAAAGCAATGACATTTCTACTCATGTAAGTGTCATCTGTCAGTCGAAAGCTAAAGGATCAAAATGCTGGGCCCCATCCTGTGCTCATTTCGCACTGCCCTCCACTAGCACAGAAGCTCCTATAGATATACTTAAAATATGATTCTTTCAAAAGAAAATCAAATGTATTTTAGAGGGAAGTTAACAGGGAAATAAACAAGGAGGGAAAATAGCACAGCACCACCTTAAAGGTCTCAGAACTGATATTCCTGCAGAGGTAAGGTCTTTTAACTGCAGACTAAAAAGGATTTTGTTGCTCTGAGTTACATTTTCAATTGAGTTTATTTATATAGCGCCATTTCACAACATATGTAATCTCAAGACATTTTACAGAGACAATTCAACCAGATCATATAGTCAGATTGATTCAAAGTTTTTCTATCTAAGGAAAACCAGTTGATTGCATCGACTCATTGACTCGAAGGCAATCCCTCATACTAAGCATGCTTGTAGCGACAGTGGAGAGGAAAAGTCCCTTTTAACAGGAAGAAACCCCCAGCAGAACCAGGCTCAGTGTGAGCAGCCAGGTAGACTGGGGTTCAAGGAGACAGAAGCAGACATACTAAAAGAAGCAGAGATACAAAAGGCAACTGTCAACCAGCTCCACAGGAAAATACACAGCCAGGCAGACAAGCTCAGAGCCAGCTCCCATGTCAGAGGTTGAAGAAAGCACATCCATCCAGCAAGAGTCAGAGAAACAGTACAACACTAAAAAACAGGCCAAACATCTATGAACAAAGGTGTTGATGGCAGCAGCACAGCTGATATTTCTCTACAGGAAGGTGTCACAGCCAAACAGAAGCAGACCAGATGAAGCTACCATGAGAAAAGCAGAGAAAGCATAATGTTAGAGATTGAACTAACAAATTCTCCAGAGCGGGAGAATAGAGATAGAATGAAGTGGAATAATGAAAAAGGGGCCCCTAGGTCCTCCAGGAGTCTGAGCCGATAGCAGCATAACTACAGAGAAATCTCAAAATAACCTGAGCCACTCTAACTATAAGCGTAATCAAAAAAGAAAGTTTTAAGCCTACCTTTAAAGTTAGACATGGTGTCTGCCTCACGGACTAAAACTAGTAGTTGGTTTCACAGGAGAGGAGCCTTCTAACTATTATATAAAATTCAAGGACCCACTAGTAAAACTTAAGCTTGAGGAACAATCGTATCTCTGATATTAGATGGAGCTTGGCCATTTAAGGATTTATAGTACATTTGTTTTGTGTAATGTAGAAAATGCAGGCAAAGTTTCCCTCTATGTTTGGTCTGCACATTATACAATATGTGCACAAAACATGCCATATCAAATTCTAACAAATTTGAGCCAATTCAAATCAATTCAAAATCAATTTTAGTCTGCAATCTGATAGCTTAAAGGAATAGTACACCCAAAACATGATTACCCTTCATTTTCTACTCACCCCCATGCTGCACAACACCCTGGAGTACTTTTTTGATATCTCAAATGCATCTGGAGATCTGGGAGGCTTCTTGCTGTCTGCTGACATTCAAATAATTGAGGTCTATGGTGCCCGAGGCAGAAAGGTCCATAAAAGTCCACAAAAAACGTGTCAATATTCCTCCATACTGCTCGTCCAATGTATTCCAAGTGTCCTGAGTGGATAGCATCCATAATTTACTCGAAACGAAGTCATTTAGAATGTTTTTAGAGCATAAACAGTAGTGTATAGGATTTCCTGAAAGCGCGTTCACGACGCTACGGAAGGCGGCAGACCAAACCGGATGAAAGTGCGCATTCAGCTCGGCAAAGAACTCATGCTCTTCCTCAACACTGAAGTCCTCAGACATTTTTCTTTTGTTGTTTCTTTCTTTGCACAGGTAAACGGC